GCATCACGACATTTATAGAATCTTGATGGTTTATTGGACTATCATTGAACTACCATGATGGTCATAACAGGTTAGTTTAAAGCATCACGGCATTTATAGAATCATGATGGTTTATTGGACTATCATTGAACTAATTTAAAATTTACATTTATAGAATCCTGATGGTTTATTGGACTATCATTGAACTAATTTAAAATTTATACCTTCTTCATGGGGCATAAAAACCCTTAACGACTACCATAATGCCTCTTAACGACCATTATGGTTGTTTAAGTGCCATGATGCCTCAAAACATTAAAACGCCCATGACCATCATGGTAATGAGTCTACCGTGATATCATCACGGTAGTGAGTCTACCGTGATGTCTTCACGATCCTAAGACTATTGTGAAGGCTATTTTGATATAAAAAAAAAAAACACAAAAAGTGAAGAAAATGGGTATGGATCAGGTTTTGAAAAGTTTCTGATTTATTTCTAATAATCAAACCATTAAGATATATTTTTGATAATTTCACTAATAATAATAATAAATAAGTAAAAGATATTCGACTATTAATTAGCTGGTTAGGTTCATGATAGGAACCTTTTTTTTTAAGGTCGTTGACACAATCACATCTACGGCCTTTATATCTACTAAAATATGAATATTAACATGGATGTACATGCGCAATATATTATTTGCAAAGTTATTCTAATCCAATGCACCACAGCACAGTTGCTAACCCAAGAAGCACAGAGGAAATAAGCAAATGTTTGCCATTGACCAACCTGAAGGCATTTTGAATCGTTTTGTCGAGTACAATGAATATCAAAGTAGCACTTCCACTTAGAAAAAAAAAAACAAGTTAACACCTCGACGCCTTGAGCTCTAGGGCTCTAGGGAAATTGAAAATCCCATATAAATATAGATATTGAATATATGATTATAATGGACCCTGTTGAAAACGACTTAAATATAAGCAAAACGACTTAAATATAAGCAAAAAGTGAACATAATTTTACCTAAAATAATAATAATAATAATAATAATAATAATAATAATAACAACAATAACAATAACAATAACAATAACAATAACAATAACGATAATAATAATAATAAAAGTTTTCACCGTTAACATGTTAAGAAAAAGTCATAAAATGTGTCCAGTTTTACAATGACTTACTATATAACTTTTTCTTTGTTTTCCCTTCATTCCCAAAGTTAACATTGTCAAAATAAAAAGAAAATATTTTGATAGGACTACAACCTTATTAAATGAGTAAAGCCTCATTTCAAAACTTACTTAAAATTGCACTTTTAGCATTGAAAACCTTCAAATTGATCAGTTCGGCCTTAACTATTATCGCTGTTAAAAAAAAAAAAATTTCAAACCTTCAAAATAGTGTAATTTTTGCCCTAAAAGAAAAAAAAAGATTTCAAGCCTTGACCATTATCTAGACCGTCTATTTTACCCTAAAAATAAACATTTGTAGATCAACAAGATCGATACCATGTGAACTTCAAATTTTATAATTGGTATTAAAAATTGATTTTAAAACTATCATGAAAATTTCGAATACCCAAAATACTTTCCGGAGGAGACATTGAGGTAAGGTTTTGCTTTATTTTCATAAAGTTAGCCTTCTAGAAACTCCGTAAAATGTGCTTAGTTTTGCAATGGTTTCGACTCTTATTCCACTTTCCTTTGCTTTTATGTCGGTGTAACTTTTCGGACGGTAATTGCCCTTTACTAATCCCAATCCAAGATGGAGGTCACGAAGGAGCACAGCCGTACATTTGGTCTCATAAGCTGATTTTGAGAGTTCGGTTGGAGAATTTTAAGAGATCCAAATCATGGTGAGCTTTTTTCTTAAAGATTTTGTCGACCATGATTGAAAACTCGACCCAGTCCACTAGCTCTCGGCTTCTTGTCGAGGCGAGTACTCGGGTGCCCCATGGGTAAAAAGAAATTATAAAAAAATGTAGAATCAATATATAAAAATTAGAAATAATGATTTTATGGGACCCTTCCATGTCTATATATATAACTTCAAATGATCACCATTAAATTTGGCATAAATCTCTAAAAAAGTTAAATATCACATGAGTGTGTAACTTGACTTTTCTAAAAGTCCGTATCAAATTTAATGATGATTATTTGGGGTCCTACACACATGGGTGTGAGAAGGTCTCATAGGATCATTCTTAAAAAATTATAGGCCATATAGATAATTTCTACAATAATACATGAGTTTTTATTTTTAATTTTTATAAATCCATATTTTAGATATTCTTTTTAGCTTTTTTGGACTTTTTTTTTGCTGTTTTTAGTTTTGTTTAACTTTTACAAATTTTATTTTATTTTTCAAACATTTTATTTTTCTAGGGATTTTTTTATCCCGATTTGATGCTCATCCGAGTCCACCTAGACTTGGCCAAGTTAATCATTTTGGGCCAGGGCCGACTCCGAGGCCGAGCCGAGTCAAGAAACATTGGTCGTAGATAAAGAAAGGTGATGTTTTCTTTGTTAAGATCTCCGTAGATGAAGGCAAATAAATCCCGTCACAGCATCCTGCAGGACTACCAAATCGTTTTCCATTAAATTATTGAATTCGGAAGTCCGGCGTCTCAAAAGAAATTATGAGAAACACTTTTTTTGGGGGGAGAATTATAAAAAACACCCCAAAATTAGCAACTTACAGCCGGTTTATTTTTTTTTTTTCACTTTTTTTTTCCCAAATACACGATCTATGCAACATACCTCCAACCAAAAAAAATAAAAAATACCTAAATTATCCTCTTTTACTTCTACCACATCTATCTCTCCTCAATCCCATCAAAACAGGGACTTCGGCATTGTGGTCCGGCAGTAGAGCTCCAATACTGTGTAAAGTGTGATCTGGCAGTAGGGCTCCGGCACTGTGTAAAATGCAGTTTGTATGGCAGTTGCAAATAGTGGTAAGGTAGTTACAAAGGGCGGTCCGAGTAGATTCTAGGGTTCTGGCATTGTATTAAGGAGAGTGCGGCCCTACTCAGTTCCGGTGCGACAGTTGTTTCAGGGTGGTCCGACACTTGTTGGCTTGGTAATGTGATGGTAAGTGGCAATAAGCTACTATTGGGTCCAAAAGTCAACATCAAATTTAGTCAAAAAGATTTTTTTTGTGTATAAGAAGGGTATTTTTGTCTAAAAAAATAAATATTTTTTTTTTGAGGTACTTGTATAGAAAGTTTGTTTTAGAAAAAAAATGAGGAAAAAAATTACGTTGGGATAAGTTGTATAGAACGTGTGGTTTTGAGGTTGTTTTTTTTGTAATTGAACATTTTCATTGTTTCCTTAGAGACGTAGGCTATGACTTTCCTCTTATAGGGGCAAACTTAGTTTAGTTTCCATGGAGGAGGAAAAAGGAAAAAATCCACCATGATAGAGAGAGAGAGAGAGAGAGAGGGGGGCTAAAACTTAGTTTGCTTTCACTTGGGGATTCAAAGACTTAGTTAAGTTTTATTTGAGGGTGAAGAGAGAGAATCCAGGAATAGAGAGAGATTCACATGCCAACACATGGTTTAGTCTCCTGAGGAACATTAGGTAGTTGTCTCTTTCAACTGCCCTAAAAAAGCCACAAAGCAGTGATGGGGTGCAAAAAGTTTAGGAAATTTAGGGGTTTGTAACTGAGTAAAGTAAGCGTGTGGGGTCTCAACGCCAATCAAGCCTCCTCCTATTGACATGCAACCAGACGTCCAACGTGAAAACACATTCAACAATCCTTAATTTTCAAACAATCTCAAAAGGATAGAGCGTTGGCCTTCCCATTTCTCCTGATAAATCATGTCAAAAAAGTTGGAGGAGAGTAATCTCTTTAAATATGACCAATTCGCCCCTCTGACCTGAGTACTGTTTCAAATTTTTTCTTTTTTTATTTATTTAGCTTTAGGAGCAAGTCGCCTCATCCAACCTTCATATGAAAGATAGGAAAACTTTGTTTGCTTTCTAAATTATTTTGGAGATCTTGGTCCTTTTTGTAAAAGGGAAGCTTCCTTTGCAAAAAGGAAGCGATCGGGTATAGGGAATTCATTTTTGCCACAACTTTTCAAGCCATTCGATTTGAATGGATGGTTGAGATGACCCGATTCATAATGTTGCATCTAAATTTTATTTTATGTTTTAATTCTTTTATAAATCATATTAGTACTAAATTTGAAGTGTCCCATCCTCTCATAGGGTTGCACCTATGAAAGACATTTAAAAATATTTCTAACAAAATAAAATAAACAAGGTACCGCTGAAATTTTTTGGGATAGTTTGGTCATTTTATTTTTTAAAAATATTATGCTTTTTCTTAGGTGCTCCCCATTGAGATAATGACATGCATCAAATTTCATTTTCATACGATTTATAAAAATATTAAAAATAAAATAAGCCATCAGATCTTAGATTAAATGGTAAGAGGTCGACTTGTAATATTAATTCCCTATGTCTAGTGACATATAGAAAGCAATTGCATTGTTTGAAAAGTATGAATGGGTCCTCTTTCCATACTCATATTCTTGGTCCGATTCAGATGATTGCTGAGGTGGACCCGGCCACAATGTACAAAGAAACTTAGAATATTGGAAGAATTGGGCAATTATTGATTCCAATCTGAGCCAGTAGATATATTCCAAGTCGGATGGGCGATTTTTAAATAACTGCCAAGCAAAATATGTGATATGTATGCTCAGGAATGTAATGGATGTCCACCCTTTTGGACCAAGTCATTCGACTTTCCAGTCATTTTGTGAAAAATGGCAGGGCTTTTCTATCGTAATTGAAAGAAACCTGTGAAGCTTAGCTAGGGTGGGTTTCTTTACAGGAAGAATCATTGAAATAAAAAAAGGGGCACACGCCGAATATTGACAATATTCTCCCATTTCCAAGCGTTCATACTCCTTACGCATATAATTAATGGTATGAAGATTGAACCCGTCTCTCTCTCACCCTCCATGTCTATATAAACCTGGCTTACGCGACCATTCTTTCCAAGTCTTAGTTATCTTACTTATTTAACAGAAAAATTTTTAGTTTTTGGTTGTGAAGAGAAGCAATGGCTTTCTCTCTCCTCACCTTTGTGATGGCCTTCCTCTCTCTCTCTGCGGCCTCCTATGCTCAGCTCTCTTCAACTTTTTACAACTCTTCTTGTCCAAATGCCCTCTCAACAATTCAAACCGCAGTGCGAAGTGCAGTGAACAATGAGTCTCGCATGGGTGCATCCTTACTTCGCCTTCATTTCCATGACTGCTTTGTCAATGCAAGTCTCACTTTCCCCTGTTTCTTTAAGTCCCTGCCTTTTGCATATTCATGCATTTTTTTAGTCTTATCTCTTTTGCTTTCTTTGATTTGAAAAACAAAAAAAACGTATAGGAACTTAAAGACAGGCATGCATGTGTTTCCTTGCATGCTTGGATGCATACTAGCAGTGCTTTAGAACAAGGACTCGGGTTGGGATTCACTGTGGTTGCGAGCCCAAATCCAAAGACTTGGACTAGGCTCACTCCGAAAATATCAATAATAAAATGTTGAGAACATGAGACTTTGCTAATTCCCATGTCTCGGGTTTCAGAGTTGTATTTTGCAGAGTCTAGGTAACTCGGCTGAATCCGAGTTGGACTGGCCCCATTTTTTATTCATTGCATACTAGTATGCAACTCATTAGCTTTTTTTTTTTTTGGGACTTTAGTGAGTTTTCTTATCTAGGAGTATTGTAGTCAGGGAAAGTGTTAGGTGGTGAATGCATGTGTCAGGAGAGGGAATATGTTCTTGTGAACTTTTTGAATTGTTCCATTGATAAGTATGGCACAGAAATACTATTGATTAAAATAAAATTACATAGCTATGTATAATTGCCATGGGGCATTATGGTAATTTCTAAAATATAGCTGCCCACTTGGAATTCTCTCTTCTGGAATCCCCTTCATTCTTAATACCAAGTCACTCTCTATTCCATTTCCCTTGTCTTTATTCACAAGTTTCTCTCTATCACCTCCATATTCATAGTGGCCTTCTATGAAATGACTAAATTGCCCCTAAAAAAAAAAGTACATTTCTTCCATGCGTTTACCCCATGCATCATTTATAAATATATTTATGGAGATAAACACATTATATAGGCATCCATATAACAAATGCTTCATACAAAAAAGTGTATGCTTATTTATTGTCATATATGAAAGAGGTCCCGGTCCCCCTCCCCCTCCCCCTCCCCCTCAATTTGAGCCCCAAGTTAGTGGATGCCTACCCTTCTAGCCCATGTCCAAGATGAATGCACACACTTGCATATGCAAAAATACATGTGCATGAATATTTGAAAAAAACCATGCACATCCATGGGTATAATGGTACGAATACATGTATGCATATATGTTAACTATAGGTGTATAAGTATGTATGTGCCACATTTTTTATAACATGTTTGATTTCAATGTTTAGGGTTGTGATGGTTCTCTTCTATTGGATGACAATGCAACCTTCACCGGTGAGAAAACAGCAAGGCCAAACAACAACTCAGTGAGAGGATTTGAAGTGGTAGACAACATCAAATCCCAATTGGAAAGCTTGTGCCCTGGTGTGGTCTCTTGTGCTGACATCTTAGCCGTTGCGGCACGCGACTCCGTGGTTGTGGTAGGCTATCTTGCCACTCGTGCGGTTTTATTTCTTGATTGTAAAACAAAGAAAGGCCTCTGATTTCCCTGACGAACTCTTCAAATTCTATACTGGTCTTCTTTGTTAGGTTGCCATTCCACACAAATACCCTTAAGAGTTTCAGTGGTTTTAAGTAGAAATACTGCCACCGTTATCCGCTTAAAATGGCCGCATTTTTCTCAATAATAAACCTTAAAGAAACCCTTCTTTAGGAAATTCTATTTTGTTTTTCTTGTCAATGTATAACCATGGTTGTGTAGTTTATCTCTCTGCAAGGTCAACAGTAAAAGCCCAGAGAAAAAGGTAGTGGTTAAGTCTAAAAGGCTCAAATCGTTTGTGTATAGGACTTTGAGGTGTTGAGGCTAAAATGGTTAGATGGGTGTGGTTTGAATGCAGCTTGGTGGGTCAACATGGACGGTGTTATTAGGGAGGAGAGATTCAACAACTGCTAGTCAAAGTGCTGCAAACTCCAACATTCCTGCACCAACCTTAAATCTGAGTGCCCTCATCACAAGTTTCTCAAACCAAGGACTCAACCAGACGGATTTGGTGGCTCTTTCAGGTTAATCTCTCTCTCTCCCTCTCTCATTTTATATCATTATTAGTTTTCAATTGTCATCATTTTTAATATATCATTTTATTTTATGAATAGCTGATCTCAAATAGTTGAAATAAAGCTCGAATGATGGCGGTTTTTTTTTTATGTGAGATTGTTGAATAATTATTATTTCACCATTAATTATGCTCCAAAAAAAGTGCTCATAAAGCATGTATAAAAACACATAAAATTGACTATGTTACATGATACACCTCTTGAAGTTGATTTTTGAGGTGTACCCTTACCTGTACAGTATAAGGTTGACACCTTATGTAAATGTTTCCTTCTTTCTTATTTGTTACTTTAATAAATGGCGGATACACCTAGCACAACACGCACATGTATGAATAGAGATACACAATAGCAAACGCATGAGACCAAATAGCCCAAATATTTTATAGTCACGCAGGGGTATACAGTCCCTCGGGTAAAATCAATCTAGGATTAATTTTAGGTCCCAATCAAAATTTTTTCATAATTGCACTCTCTATACATTTAAAAAACAAAAAATGTCTTATCATGGAACATACATCATCAAATTTTAGAGAGTGAGATTTAAGTATTAGAAAACTCAAAATTCAATTTTTTTGTTTTGAAATAATTATCTAATAGTTCTTAAGTGATTCTACAATTTCAAAATCTCCTAAAGTGGGTATTCTGACCAAGAAAGTAGATGTACACTATGCGGGAGCATAATATACACACTCAATATAAAGTAAGGCCAATTGTTATTGAGAGGACGAAGTCATAATTACTCTTAGCAGTTGGATATGAAATCTGGCGCGTATCTCTTTGACCAAACTCTAAGTATTAAAAAAACAATTTCTCAAACTTTTTGATACGTCCCAAACTGTCAAATTCCATTTCACGTTCAATGCAAAGGGATGATTGTGACCTTATACTAAATGACATAATGCAATCTCAACATTAAATTATAGGCTAGGACGAAGGAACAAACATTTACGCAACTTTAGGGTAAAAACCTAACAATGGCTAGTAAGTTGGACTTTTAATGTAGGAAGGTGGGAGGGACGATCCATTGAAGAATCAGGGTACAAAAATAGTGGACTGAAAGGGGCTTTAAAAGATAGTATTCAAAATTGGGATTATGCACGAGACAATTTATATTTATCTTTGATACAAAGAGGTCACATTTACTTATAACCATTCGATGTGAAATGTGATAGTTTGGGTGTGTCACAAAGTCATAAAAATTCTTTTTGAACTTTGAGCTTAGTCAATAGAATAAATGCAGCCACCCAATTACACATTCATAGTCAATGGAATAAATGCAGCCACCCAATTACACATTCAAGGTCAAGATTAATTGTGACCAGCTTGTATTAAAAGTAAATAGTCTCATCATATATTTTTCCTATAATATTTTATAAATATAATTAAAAAAGATAAAAAACAAAGAATCATATTAAAGGATATATAAAGTAAAACAGATATTCATGGGTAAGATGCATGTGGCAAGCTCGGGCTTAAAGTTGTTAACAACATAAATCTCAAGTTTTATTCCTACCGCTGGACCACTTACAAAGGTTCACTTGTACACTTACAAAGGTACACTTTGATTCATGCAAGTATGAACAATTATCGTGCAAATTTATATGCTATTTTATATTTACACACTAGTGTCTGTCAACTAGTTGACATACTCAATGGAAATCTGCATATGCATCTATGTCTATACACAAGTATGTGCCGGCGGTCGTATGTCATCTAAGTAATTCAACAAGAAATTATTGAGCCCTAATTTTTATGTTATAGTAATCTGAATTTGGTGATCTGTTGCAGGTTCTCACACAATCGGTCAAGCTCGGTGCACCAGTTTTAGGACTCACATTTACAATGAAACCAACATAAACTCAACATATGCCACATCGTTGCAAGCGAACTGCCCGTTCAGTGGAGGCGATAACAATCTCTCACCCCTCGATGTAACGTCGCCAACAGTCTTCGACAACGAGTATTACAAGAACTTGGTGAGCCAGAGAGGACTCCTGCATTCTGATCAAGAGCTCTTCAATGGAGGTGCAACTGATTCTCAAGTCAATGGCTACACCGGTTCCTCTTCAACTTTCTTTACAGACTTTGCCAATGCAATGGTGAAGATGGGAAACATTAGTCCTCTCACAGGCAGTAGTGGGGAAATTAGGACAAATTGTAGGAGGGTGAATTAGTGGTTGATTTTGTCTTTGCCCTAGACATTGATAACGCCATTGAGTGGTACGCGTTCTGCTTAGTGGTGGTGGAACTAAATAGATATTTTGAGGGTCTATTTGAAATATTTTACAAATCAATTGAAGCTTATTTTGTTTTTACCCCTTTAATTTCAATTAGATAGTTACAATTTGCAAATCAAACAGCCAATGAGAAATAATTCGATAAAAGATTATATACTATGAGACAATTTATTTTTGGTACAAGGAGATCACAATTAAATCTAGCAGATGAAAATCTGACACAACATTCAAGAAATTTTGTTTTGGACTTTGTACTTAAACAATGTCACCTCTCCAACTACTCGATTTCAAATCTAACGGTCAACGATAAGTGTGACCTCTTTGTATCAAAGTTAAATAATCTCATTGTATATATTTCCATTAGATAAAGCTTGAGATGCACTTGATAGGATTCACTATTTTTCTCTAAACGGGAGCAGCCATGGGAACGTCAAGCCCAATTAGCTCGTGGCCTTGCTTTGAAACAAGGGTGAGGTTTGTTTAAGGGATCGACCTTAAACAATTAAAGGTGCACTTCTAAATCTTGTCAAAAAATGCAATTTTGGTGCTGAAAATCCAATATCCTAAAAATCTATTCTTGACCCTAATTGTGAAAGTTGAAAATTCCAAAGATGGTGCAGATTGAGGAGATCTATAAACATTTAATTTTTTTGAAAATCAGCTGTCTAACAAATTTGTCGCGAGATGCACTATTTCAAGACTTGAAGTTCAATTTTTTTTTCCCATATCCGTACATCTCGAGATCGAGAGGATCAATTATTGTGAGAATAGTTAACATCAAAATAACATGTTCAGGTGGATTTTTAAGGTGCACCTTACTTCTATAGTATAAGGTTGGCACTTTGTATAAACTTATTCCTTGAAACGACGCCAATGGCCTTATGGTGCGAATTGAGAACCATTGGTTTGAAGAGTGCCAGTTCTTATCATACATTTAGTTTAGTAGTACGAATTGATTTTGAGATGTAGTGTTGCTAGCATCCACTAAGAATCACTCTAGATCCATGCCTAGTTGTTATCATATATTGACTATATAGATGGTTGTAAGCAGTGTTGTCAGATTCGCTTTGGATTCTTCTTTGGTTTGGTCAGAAAAAACCAAGCAATACGGTACTTTGGCTGATTCAGAAGAAAACTTCAGAATTTTTAAAACAATTTAATATTCGAAAGGGCCAAAGCTTCAACTGAAGAGGCTGAAGCACCGAATTGCCTTTTTAATTAACAATTTTGTGCTTCTATTGAGGAGGCCAAATCAAACCCAGGTGGACCGAAGTAGGCCGAAGCGGATGCACAGCTTCACTTCAATTCAGTCTAGGCCGAAAATCCAAAGAGTTTGAATGTTAACATCGTACTTTATGAGAAAAAGAACTCCGCATCCAGCACCCTAACCACCTCTGCCTAGAGCGCACTGTTGAATTCTTCAAATTTATAAGTGAAGAGGTTTAGGGTCAAGTATCCTTCTCAACCAAATTATTTCCTTTGCTGCCTCAGTCAGTGCCACATACTCAGCTTCAGTTGATGATAAGGCAACAATATCTAGTAACATTGACATCCAGCTGACCGTATCACCACTAACATTGAAAATGTATCTAATGGTAGGCCTTCTAGTATCACGGCATCCTGCATAATCTGTATCTACATAACCAACAACTTCTATTAATGAGTTCCTAGAACATAAACATATATTTCGTGTCCCCTTTAAATATCGAAGGATCCACTTAACTGCTTACCAATGTTCCCAACCTGTATTAGACATAAATCTGAAAATAACTGCCACTGTATGGGCAATATCAGATCTAGTATAAATCATTGCATACATCAAACTACCAACTGTAGAAGCATGTTAGAATAACCTTCACCCAGCATAAAACTATCAAATTTCTTATACCATTGCCAAGATGCTTGTTTCAATTATACAATACCTTTTGCAACCTACAAACAAAGTAAGTATTGGTTTTGTTCTCAAAACCTTCAGGTTGATACATGTAAATTTCTTCATCAAGATCACCATAAAATGATGTAGTTTTAATATCAAGTTGTTCTAACTACAAATTCAAGTTAGCAACAAAAAATAGAACAACTCTAGTAGAGCTATGCTTAACAACTAGAGCAAAAGTTTCATTAAAATTAACACCTAGTTTTTGCTTATAACCTTTTACCACAAGTTTGGCCCCATATCACATAAGACCATTGGCCTCCCACTTAATAGTATATACCCACCTATTCTTCAATATTTTCTTCCCATGTGGAAGTTCTACCAACTCCCATATATCATTCTTGTAGAAAGCATCAATCTCCTCTTCCATTGCCTTATGTCACTTTTCAGCATTAGGGCAATAAATAACTTCTAGAAAAGATACAGTTTCACCACTATTAGTATAAAAAACATAATATAAGAAATGATAATACCTTTGTGTGAGCTTGTGATGCCGTGTGGATCTTTTCAATTCTGGTTCAGGTGTAACTGATAGTTCTTCATCTTGAATTAATTCAATGTTATCCTTATAATTTGCATCACCTCCATCAAAACTGTCTTGAGCTTGATTTTGATTCTCTTGCACTTGATGAGGTGAAATAATAAGATTTGGCTCTTGTATGTCCACAATAAGTCTTTCTTGTTTTGGCTCTTCCTACTTCTTTTCAGCAAATATTACATTATCATTAAAGAAAAAATCCCGACTTATGATAGTCTTCTTTGCAATAGGATCCTAAATCCAATAACCTCTATCATCACCACCATACCCAAGAAAAACTCATCTTCTTTACTTGGCATCTAGCTTGTCTCTATTCTTATTGGGCACTTAAACATAAACTTCACACCCAAATGTTCTCAAGTGTTCATATGACACACTTTTACATCTCCACAGAATTTCAAGTATTTCACCATTCAAGGGTCCAATGGAAGATCTATTGATTAAATATACAACTATATTAGAACATGCTTCTTACCCTTTCAATGATGGTCATATTTATCCTCTCAAGGACACCATTTTGTTGTGGTATCCCAAGAACAGTCATTACTCTGCGAATACCATTTTCTCTATATAAAGTATCAAAGGCATTCGAACAATATTCACTGCCATTATCAGTTTACAAGCATTTTATAAATCTCTTTGTTTTTTTTTTAACCTTGGCTTTGAAAACTTGAAAACTTTAAAAACTTGATCCTTAGATGTCAAAGGATACAACCAATACTTTCCAGAATAATCATATAAAAAAGTGATAAAATAAGAAGCTCTACCAAGATATTTAACATTAACAGGGCCACAAACATCAAAATAAATCAGTTCTAATGCTATACTTTTTCTATGAGATTCATTTTTTTTAAAACTAACTCTACGCTGCTTACCCATAGCACAATGATCATAAAAATCAATAAATGAATGTGTAGAAATAGGAATAAGATTTTGAGTTTGCAATACCTTCATACTATGCTCACTGAGATGACCCAATCGACTATGCTAAATCTGCATGTCTTATTGCTACTAGCTGTAGGAACAATCTTATCTATAATATCATTCCTTTGAGTTGTCCCTCTTTTTAACCTTTCAACATTGTCATACAACCTCTTGAAATTTTTCATGACCTATTTCTAAAAGTTACTATGAAGCCAAAATCATCTAATTGCCCGGTTGAAATCAGATTTTTCTTCAACTCAAGAACGTGCATCACATTTCTCAATGTGCGATTCTTTCCATCTGATTGCTTGATAACAACATTTTCAATGCCCAAGAGTTTGCAAGCTTAATCATCACCAAGATAAACCAAACCATCATCCACATTTGTGTAAGATGAAAAATATGACATTTCTGGATAAATATGGAATGAAACATTAGAGTCTAAAATCCAAGTATTTGCAATAGACAATGTTGTGTATGCAACACTAAAAGTGACCCCATCTTCACCATTTGAAATTGTACATGCTTCGGCATGACCATTCTTGCCCTTGGCATTTTGTTTGTTCTTCAGAGCATAATAATATTTTCTTATATGGCCTGGTTTTTTGCAATACCAACAAGTAACCTTCTTACCCTGTAACTCGGATCTTCCTCTGCTATGAGTTTTACCGTTATTAAATCCATGATATCTACATTGGGTTCTTCTTTTATCTCCTATTACCAATGCTTGATTTGACGCAATAAGCATTTGTGTGAATGCCTTTCTAGTCTCTTCATTCAACAATGGAGCCACAATATCTTTCAAATTAAAGTTGTTACTCATTGTATTTGTCACAGTGTTAACCAAGGTATCCCAACTAGCAGACAAAGAACTCAACAAAAGCAAACATAAAATTTCTTCATCCAAATTCATTGGCAAAGACCTCAATTGTGCATAAATTGAATTAAATTAACTCACATTCGTTGTAATTGTAAAAACTTCTTTCATTTTCAAAAGAAATAATTTTTTCATGGCATGCATTTCATTTGCACCAGAGGTTTGTTCAAAAGAATGCTCTAAAGATTGCCAAACCTTTGCAGATGTTTCACATTGACAAATATCAAATAAAATTGATGGTGAAATACATAGTCTAATAGCCTCATTCCCAATCTTCCATTCCAACATGCATGACTTCCTTACCTCGAAGTGGCCGATCCAATTTTTTTTCAACAAGGTAATCTTCCATCATCATTTTCTATATTGACTAATTACTTTGATCGAATTCTTCAAATTCTGTTGCCCTTTCCATTTTTAGGAAAAATACAGCAAATAACCACAATAGTAAAAACTACTTTATTCATAGATATAATGAAGAACAAACCCTATGCTTTAATACCAGTTGTTGGGATCGATTGATGAAAAATCAACAAAGGTTTATAACATTCACAGCTATTGTGCATTCATATAAATATAAACAAGCAATGAAAACTACACAATATCAAAGCAAGAATATGGACTGAAAAATCCAGCAACATGCATTCACAGAGTACAACAATTTAACATGGTCCGGTCACAAATCGTGACATATATCCACGAGAGAATGACGCGAGACTTTAATTACTGATTCGAGAAGATTACAAGGTGAAATCGAACTCAAAACATCAATTTGCAGCAATTTTGTTTCACTCTAAACGAAACCAAA